CAACTGCTCTGGCCGCGGATTGCGGACGCTCGGGCCCGCGCTGCGCATCCCCGCAGACGCCACCGCACTGTGAGTATCCCGCCGATGGGCGACGGGGGCCGGGCGGTTGCCATGGCGCCAGGCGGGTGGACGGACTGAGGGGCAGTGGGGGCCTGGCCGGGCGCAGGGCGTGGGGAAGCCTCACCGCGTCTGCACCCTCGTGGGAGAGGCCCCACCGGGCAGTACGCCGGCCTGGCGGGCCTCGCAGGGCGTGGGCGCGTCCCAGGCCTCTAGAAGGGGAAACGGAGTGCCGGCCAGGCCTCTCCCAGGGCGAAGCTCCAGCGTAGTGAGGTCCGCCCGACTAAATAAGGAAAACTTGAGACCGCGGCCGGCTGTCAGCCCGCCTAGCATGGACAGAGGGAAACAACAATCCCGGTTTCTGTAAAAGCAGAGACATCCCACTCGGTGGGGCTCTGCAAACGTGAGCTGATAGGGAGCCTGTGGCAGCGTGCGGGGGCGGGGTAGGGCGGTCTTTGAAGGGAGACTGCAAACATTTAAACTCTAATTAGAGACTAATAGGATGCAGCCTGGCTTGATGATCCCCTGCACATGGGAGCCCGGGTGAAAGAAGCCAGGAGGTGAGCTGTGTGGGATGGCAGGAAAGGCTTCCCGGTAGAGGTGACTGGATAAGGGTTTGATGGATGTTTAAGAATTGGTCTGAAACTTAAGGAGCGGCAGGAAGGTGCGTCCAGGGGAAGGGAGAAGGGAATCATGCGTACAACGACCTGGAGGCTAGCCTTGGTCATGTGTAGATGTAGGGAACACCCCAAGAGTAGCAGCTGCAGGGGATATATGAGGGATTTGGGGCACAATGGGAGGTATGCAGGGGTCCTGAAGGGTTTCAGGTGTCCTGTCTAGGGCTCTGATGTTATCCTGGGAACAGTGAGTGAACGGGGTTGCCACAGAGGGGTTTAAAACGCTGAAGAGCTGTTGTCAGGTTTGAATTTTGGAAGTAGTAATAAGATCCTTTATGGAGAGTTGCCTTGAGTGAGGTACTGTGCCTAGCTCTGGTTGTGGTCAACATGCTTAACTCTCTCTGTGACTCTGAGGTGGAGGTATGGTGAAGATCCCCATTTTACAGATGAGAAAGCCGAAATGCAGGTGATGTAACTTGTCCAAACACAAGTACCAAGTAGCAGCGGGTTGTACATGGTAGAACTGATTTTTGTCTGTGAGGTGCCCAGGACCCCAGAGTTGGAATGAGAAAAGTGCTGGGGGCTGAGATTTGCAGACAGTTGTCTCTGGGACTGGGGGCAGGCTCAGGGCTTCCTAATCCACATCCTTATGAACCCATTTGGATTTCTTGGGCACTTCCAGGCATCTAAGGCAGAACTCCATCTCTCCTTGGCCAGACTGTTAAATCTGGAGGTGAGCCCTGGCATTCAGTTTTGTAACATTGTTCCCTGAGTGACTCCAGCATGTAGCCTCTTTTAATTAGGGGCCCAGTGGTCAATGTTCAGATGAGTTTGGATGTTGGGGGTGGGGTGAGGTAGGGGTGGGTGCTTCTCCTGAGTGCTCTGAATATTCTTGGGACTTTGCTGGGTGAACTTGGGGTTGGGAGAAAAGCAGATTCTCCAGGGTCAGCCAGGAGCCATGCAGACCCCTCTGGGCCTATTGTCTTGCTCCTTGAAGCATTTGCCATCTCTGTTGTCTCTGGAGATGAGCCTCCTGTTTGCCACTAGCACTGCTATAATTATGTTAGACACACCCCACCCCTTGTTTCTTGATGCTATGGGTAAGGTTACCTCTGTCCTTGGTGGGCTGGGAGCCCCTGGGATTCAGGCCTAGCTCTTGCTGGTTAGTCTCAGGTGGCTTCCAGAAGCTGTCCAGGGAATAAACAATGCCAGTGGGTCTGAGGCCTTCAGCAGGGCTTAGGCAGCTCTTGGAGACAGTGATGGAGCCCGAGCCTATTACCTTGCATGTGTCCTCTTAGGCTCTGTTCCTGGGTTTTGGAAGTCCTGAGATCTGGCAGCCTGGCCTAGCTTGAGCTGGCAGGATTGCCAGGGTTGTTGGCCCCTCTGAGTGTGCATCGAGACCCTGGGAGGCAAGTGGATAGCAAGTAGAGGAGACTCCATGCTCTTCTTTATACCTCAGAGCTACTTCTGAAATTTCCAGAAAGCTGGGGGCGAAGACCTATGAGAAACTGGGCCCTTGGGTGCAGATGGTAAGGCCCTCACTGGTCCCCCATCTGTACTCTATGGGCTACCTGGGCCATTCTGCCTATTAACCCTGCATATCCCCTTCTCAGGGAGAGGGAAATAGGTGAATCTTCTCCAAGGGAGAAGGGCTGAGTTTGGAGAAGCTAGGGAGCCTTCTGGGTGAGGGTGTGCATGTGTAGGGGATCTAGCAGTTTCCTCTGAGGGGCTTGGGCCTGGTACCTCGGTCATCAGTGTCTTGCAACCACCCCTCCATCTGAGACTCTTTGGCCAGCCTGAGGTGGGACAAGACAGCCATATCTAGACCTGGGAGGGAAGCTGGTCTGTGGGAGGATTCCAGGTTCCCAGACCCCACTCTTTCTTGGGTTAACTGATGCTGCAGGGAGTTGGCAGCCTGAAAATTGTGATTTTTTAAAAACTTTATTATGGAGAATTTGAACATACACAGAAATAAGCAGAATAGTGTGAACCTCACAGACCTACCACCCTGTTGCTTGTCCTGCCCCTCTACCCCCGCCCATTTTTGAACCAAATTCCAGCATCTTATTCTCTGATCTATAAGCACTTTGGAGTGTATGGCAACACCATGATCGTACCTACAACACCCTGATCTCATTACATGTCCAGTGCGTTCAAATTTTTGGTTGTCTCGGGGTTTTTTTTTAGGTAGTTTGAATTAGGATTCAAATAAGGTCCACACAATACAATTAATTGGTGTCTTTTAAATCTCTGTTGGTATATAGGCTTCCCCTTCATCTCTTTTTTTTTCCTCATGAAATTTGTTGAAGAAACCAGCTTTAACAGTACTTGGGATAGGGTTGCATTTCTGTGTCACCTCCATGGTGTCATCCAATGTGTCCCTCTGCCCTCTGTGTTTCTTGTAGATTGACAATTGGGTCCATAGCTACATTGTGGGGCAAGTCATATTTCAAGTGTTCCAGAGCCACTTGTGGCCAGTGGCTACCGTGTTGCACAGGACAGCACAGAGATAGAATGTTTGTCACCGCAGAAAGTTCTTGGTTCTTAAAGTGCTTCTCCAGGTGTGCTCTGTAGATCAGTTAGTTTCAGGTGAGGGTGATTTTGGCTGACCACATCTCAGGTGTTGTGTACTGCTAATTTTGGCCAGGGGCCCATACTGGGTTTATGTACTGTCTCATGCATGTGTTGGGTCTGGGTCTAGGCTTGGAACAGGGACTCAATAGGGACTTGGTTCGCTGATAAAGATATTAGGGGCCTTAAGGTCTTCTGTTGGCTGAGAGTAGTCAGGGCCTTGCTCTTCCTTACCTGTGCCCCTAAATGACAGGAGAGTGGGGAGGATATTAGGGGAGGCACAGACCCCTGGGCTTGGCCTGGGCCTGGTGTGTGCATAATGTGCTAGACTGCAGGTGCCACATGCATTGTTGCCTTAAGGGCTGGGCCGGCCACAGAGAGGCCCTCCCTTCTGTGAGCCCTCGGCATTTGGAGGCCTGACTGCTGTGTGCTGGTCCTGTGCTTGGGGTCTTCAAGGCTTACCTTTCTGAGGCTCGGTTATCACTGGGAAGCTGATGTTAAACCAAAGACACAGATGATGGGGCAGGGGCCATTTTGGAGGGGCTGCCCAGAAGGACCCCCACTGTAAGTGACATTGAAACCAAGATTCAGTGTTTGCACAGGAGTCATCCAAGGGCTGGGGAGAGTTTCCCAGATAGAGGGGACAGCCTGGCAGAGTCTCAGATGGAGGGCTAAGAGGTGGGGCCTTTATTAAGAGAGCAGGTGGGGACAGCATTGAATGGTCCAGGAAGAAAGTGATGTGCTTGGCATTTTCTAGAAAGAAACTGGCTGCTACTTGAAGATAGTGGGTACTGGGAGGACTTGGGCATCCAGCACATTCAGCTGGTCTCACTTTCAGGTTCCTCGAGCTGCGCACAAGGCTGGCACTTGAGAATTCAGACTAAAAATGCGCATGTAATGTTAGTTTCCTGATGAAACATGGAATGCAAATTTGCCAGAACTGTGGACAGGAAGGTACATAAGCCTTCTGTACGTGGTCCTCCACACAGGGACTGCAGAGCGGAGAACATGTGCAAATCATCTATCTGATGAGGAACTTGTAGCCAGAATATATAAAATACTCTCATGACTCTGCTAAAAAGACAAATGATCCAATTAAAAAATGGGCAAAGGATCTGAACAGATATAGCTTCAAAAAAGATATGACCAATCAGTACATGAAAAGATGCTTAATGGCCAGCTTTCAGGGAAATGCAAATCAAATTACAGTGAGATACCATTTCATATCCACTGGTATGGTGATCACCAAAAAGATAGACAATAATGGGTGCTGGTGAGGATGTGGAGAAATTGGAACCCTCCTCTATTGCTGATGTTGAACCCGGAATCCGCCCTTTGGAAAACAGTCTGGAAATTCCTCAGATGATTAAACAGGATTCAGCAATTCTGTTTCCAGGTTTCTACCTAAGAGAAATGAAATATATGTCCACACAAAGACTTGTATACAAACGTTCATAACAGCATTATTTATGGTAGCCAAATGTGGAAACAACGCAAGTATCCATCAGCAGATGAATAGATAAACAGAATGCAGTCTGTTACAGTGGAATATTACTCAGCCGTAAAAAGGAATGGAGTACTGACACATGCTACAATTATGGATGAGTCTTACAAACTTGATGCTTACAAACTTGGTGCTAAGTGAAAGAAACCAGACACAAAGGCCACGTATCAGATGACTTTTCTGATATGAAATGTCCAGAATGGGGAAATTCATGGAGAAATCCAGAAAGCAGGCCCGTGTTGTCTATAGCTGGGGCGGGGAATGGGTTTGGGGGGATGATGGCCAAGGAGCGTGGAGTTTTTGTTTGGAGTGATGGAAAT